ATGTTTCTCGCCTGAAACTTCTTTGCAGGTGCCCCTCGGCACCCAGACTGTACTTGTAACGCTCCCTGCGGGCTCTGCACTGTCTCATTTTCCACACAATTTGGAATTAGCGTGAGTTTGAAGCATTCTTGACTTGTACACACATAGGCCATTCCTTTCTTGTTCTTTCTTTCTTCCACTTCTAACAGCAAAGTTTCTAATTACAGTCTGGTGTCATTGGAGAACATGAAGTTCCAAAAAACATTATTCTCTAGGTACTGAGTCTATAATGAAACATAAACAGCTTTATTAATCTCCAAAGAACTTTATAAACTGTAAATCTCACTATAACATGTGCAGGCCACATTTGCATCAAAACTCAAAGCAAAAAGAAATTATATTTTGCTTAAAGAAAATTAAGTTTCCCTCCAAAATTCTCATTGCTGCATCTGTATGCTTTACTTTTGAGTTTTGTTTGTAATTCCAATTATTTTATGCATATTTTTTTCTCTACTTCATCAGCACTTGCATAGACCAGAACTTTTACCTTAATTTCACTATGCAATATAATCAATGTTTCTAAAAAAATAGCTGCATTTTCTTTTATGCAAAATCTCATTCTTTCTTTTGATTTTGAAGTAATGGAACTAGTCCTGTGTCATGTGAGTTTTGTGTCAACAGCTTCTTAATGGGAAGAGGGTTCTTTGCTGAAACTAAAGTGTTGCAAAGAACCACTGAGAAACCTTTATATTTGAGTGTTGTGTTCTCTCATCACCTCTCATTACTCATGCTGAGTTTATCTCTATTACTCCATCTCACCTCTCAGTAGTTTCCACACGTGTCCTCTACAGCTTGTTTTTGATGGCTTCCATTCCATCACTGTACATAGATTCCAAACTCAGAAATTTACGTTCCAACTCTGAACTTTACATTCCTAATTTAAGGAGAGTCATTTGTCATCCTGTCTTGATGTCATACCACACACTTACCAGAGTAAAAATGTGTTAAAAATGTATTGGCATTGGCGTCAATCACCAAGTGCTTTTTCAAGCCCTTAAACTAGACGTGTGAAATACCCATGAGGTCTTGATTATTAATTACTGACAGCACAGATTCATCTTGGGTGTTCCTGATGGTCATGTGCAGTGCATGTCCTTATTCAAAACCTTTATAATGACAGTATCTTTAATAATCACAGCTGTACTCCTGATACAGAGGCTGTTCCAAACAGTAAAATGATGCAGGCTCATAGAAGTGAGTGTGATTTTAAAAAGTAGGATGAATGCTGGATCAGGAACAATATTCCAATAAACCAGGTTTTAAGGTTTAGGTTTATGAGCTTTGTAAAAATCGAGGCGTTTCAAAAAGGCGGGGCATAGAGGAGAAACAATAATGTACAGTATGTGGAAAATAATGTGTTTTTTGAACCTTAAACCGCATAAACACATTTCATTACACCAAATACACAAAATAATGTTCTTTTTAGCAGCATCATATGACCCCTTTAAGGCTGGAGTTGGGAAACTGAACGTCTTATCAATCTGATATGAGTTTAGAGGTGGTTAAAAAATGTTGATCCAAGAACACTTGCCAAAATCTAAAGCATTACTGCGCTACTGTTCAAAAGTGCTTAGAAAGGAAATATTAAACCAATTGAAAATGACACTAAAGACATTTGTAATGTTACAAAAGATTATAATAATAATAAATGTTTCTTGAGCAGCAAAGTATCATATTAGAGTGATTTCTGAAGGATCATGTGACACTGAAGACTGGAGTAATGATGCTTAGAATCACAGGAATAAATTACTTTTTAAAATATATTCAACGAAAAAACATTTATTTTAAATTGAAATAATACATCACAATATTACTGTTTTACTGTATTTATATTAAAAATAAATGCAGACTTGATGAGCATAAACAAACAAACAAACAAAAAAACTATAGAAGTGCATTAACCTAGCGATATTTTAAAACCAGACATTGTTATATTAGTCAAGTCTCTCATGATTTGACTAACATAACTATCGCTATTACTCAAACTTCATAGCCCCAACCGCTAATTATTATTAAATATGTGTTGTATTCAGGAGAGGTGTGCTGTTAATTTTTTTTTAAATGTTGTTAAAGTGATTTGAACCTGGATAAAAGTCCCTTTGCACAAGAAAGAACCACTCATACTTTCTCTAGAACATGTAAAAGTTAACTTTAGTTTGTACTTCTTTCTCCCACATCAATTATGTTCACAGAAAACTCATTTAAAAACTTTTCTTTATTTACATGCTTTAAAAGAGTTGGTACAGTGAGAAGTTTTCCTAGCTGGGACTCTGGTGCTGTGCAGGCCCAGTGTGTCCCGTCCCTGTAGTGCTTGTGAATGTTATTTATTAGAGGTTAGTGGGGGTTGGTCAAACAGAGTGACATCAGCTCACACCCTCTGAGTCCGGAGGTCCCAGACGCCTGCCGTGTCGCTCTCTCATCCTCCCATCAGTCTGCGGATTAGCCGGCTAAAAGAGCCACCTGTCAGCGTGTGTGTGTGTGTGTGTGTGTGTGAGCAGTTAAGTATGTTTGGGGTTTCTCCCTGATATGTGTTAGCGTGCTCTCCGTGTGTCAGGGGAGGCTACTTAGTGTGAGATGAAGCTTGAGGCCCTCGCTCAGAACCAATGCTGTTTCATACCAGCAAAAAGAGCAGTTTATTGGCATTTACAGCACATAACTCCTCTGGGGTTTGGAGTGTGACATAACATGCCGTGCACTGGAGCCCAATACTCTCACGACATCTGATACACACTAAATCCTTGGCTCATTTTTAAATCCCCAAATGAAAATGCATGGATGCTAACAGTGGTGTGCCAACGCTGAAGTGTCCTTTCGGTCAGTCCGATTTAGGGGCCCCCGTACCACAGTGGCTCTCGTACCGCCACTTCTCCCCTGCCCCTCCAGAGGTCTGTGCACTCCACTGTGGATATATAGACTACCATTCAAAATTTTGGTCTCTTGCTCATGAGTCTCTTGCTCATAAGGCTGCATATATTTCCCTTCAAAAGATATTAATTGATGGACTGGAGTGGTGTGGATTACTTGTGGATTATTGAGATGTTTTTATCAGATGTTTGGATTCTCATTCTGACGGCACCCATTCACTGAAGAGGATCCATTTGTGGGAAAGTGATGTAATGATACATTTCTCCAAATCTGTTCTGATGCAGAAACCAACTCATCTACATCTTGGATGGTCTATCTATATCCTTGGATGGATATAGAAACTAGTCAAAATATTACTCCACCCCAGAAATGAGGAAAAGGATTTCATATTTACTCAAGCATGCATTTGTTTCGTGGAAATGAGCACTGGGTGTCCGGTTGGTTGTGCGTAGGTGGGTTAAGAAAAAAAAACACACTGCATATAGTCTAGCATCGTATTAGAAAGAGATAAACCAGCACATGATTCAGTTGGAAAATGCAGATAAGGCTGTTTTTGACCATGAAGACATACACCCTTATTATCCAGCCAAATGGCACAAGATTACAATGTTATGTACAGATTTTCTGCATGATTCCACAGAATAAACAATCACTATACTTGGTGCTAAAGAATGTATGAAGGTTTCGTAGTAAACACTTTTGAATAAGATTATAATCTGGGTCGTTTACAGTAAGCACTCCTCTGATAATACGCATGATTCATCATGTATGCGATTATTGCAGCCAGCAGCGAAAGTTTTCTATGGTATCTACAAACAAAGGGTGTCAACACAGTGGTTGGCAACGCATGCCCACAGATGCTGTTCTGTGAAATGGCAGGTGAATTCAATAAAGCCCCACCTTTGTGAAAAGAAAGAAACTGAATATGTGAGACTGATATATTCATTGTACAGTAGATACACGCCTGAAAATATTTGCTTTTTGGAGGCAGCTAAGAAAACTGTAGTGCTTATACAAGCTGAATTAATGTCTGTGAGGAAACTTTGTGCAGAAACTGAAATTGCAAAAGCCTTCAGTGGCAAAACGAGCGAGTCAGTGTTTTGGAAATGTTTAATGTGAGCCACTATGGTTTCATTTTATATGTAATGACTGTCTATCTCAATAAATGTATAAAATAATAAATAGTTTTTTTTATCTTGTGCCACACAGAGTTCAAATAAAAATAATAATAACTAAATAAATAATAACAGAATGTAATAAAATATATAAGAAATTAATCTAAAAACTAGGCTTTTTACTAAGGGTTTTAATATTCAACAAATCAGCATTTTAGAATGAATTCTGAAGGATCATGTGGCACTGAAGACTGAAGTACTGATGCTGAAAAAAATTCAGATTTGACATCACAGAATAAATTACATTTGAAAATATTTTCAATTAACAACAACTCTTTAAAATTGAAATAATATTTCACAATATTACCATTTTTATTTTTGATCGAATAAATGCAGACTTGATGAGCATTAGAGACTTATTTCAAAAACATAAAAAAAATCTTACTGACCCCAAACTTTGGAAGGGTAGTGGTGCTGTTTGGCAAAATTAAAAACAACAACTTGCTGTCAACTCTCCTGGTCCTGTCATTCCAACTTCAATTCAACTTCACACTCATTATTTGAAAGGGAGCCAAAAAAGTTGCACTAAAGCTTTGCACTTGCAATCATTTCTAACGGAAACATGCTGCTACTGCTTAATGAAAGGGAAAGAAAGAGACGAGAGAGGTAGGAAGGGAAGAACACGGGGCAGGTGAAGTGGAACGGCAGGTATGGAGCTGAACGCCTCTGAAGCACAGCCGTAACTCAATCCTGAGGTTTTGACTGGACCATAACGACTGTCTATAGTCCATTCAGCACATGGAGTGAGTTCAGGCCCACCAGCGGATCCTCTTTAAACCACGGCGCCTCCTGAGAGAAACTTATCACCTTTGGCCTCCCACTGAAAGGATCCTCTCTCTCTCTGCACCCTTTTGTCTTTGTTGTCTAGTCTTTCTTTTCCTCTCAGAGTAACATACATTTTTCTGGTTCATTGCTTTTCAGGGAAGCCGGGGTGAAAACGGCACTTGGGCACAGACATAGTCGAGGGACGATGGAAGGATTTGTTCAGTCAGGTATTTTTCTTTTTTCTTTAGGCTCATCACCCTGCTGACCTTTGGCCTCATCATAAACTCAATCAAAGCTGGTGAAGGATTTTTCACCGGCTTCTGTTGATCTTCAAATCCCGGCTGATGACAGTAATTATGTTGAAATATATTATTGAAGGTGGTGAATGTGGCTTTGATGGCTGTAGCGGTGATTAGCAGAGTAGCAGTGTGCTGACAGCCCTCTCAGAGAAATTGTGTCTTTGAATTCAACCCCTTTAAAGCAAAGCTGCTAAATATATTGAAACTAACAACAAGTTAAGAAAATTCTAGATACATTTATTCGTTCAGCAGATATTGAATTAATATGCAACTAACCTAACTAACAATTACTAATCATTGAGTTGAGGACAACTAGTCAATTAATTTAAAGGTGCAATTTTTTTATTTGTTTCAGTCACTTATTTTTATCTTTTTTTACTAAACTTTCAGTAAAGGTAATTTTTACTTCATTTTTGCTCCAAGTAGAGTTTTTCTGTCTCTTATTTCTCTTCCTAAACCTCCAGTAAATTAAGAGGGTTAAATATTTTTTAGTATTTTATTTTTGCATTTTTATTTAATATTTTCTCCAGGTATTTTTTTATGTTTTGTTTTGTCTATTGTTTGTCATCCTAATCCTCCAATGCAGATAAATTAAGTGACTTTAATATTTTTAGCATTTTTATTTTATTTCGGCAATTTTATTTTTTATTTTTGCTCTAAGTAATTTTTGTGTATTTCTGTCTCTTAGTTTCACCCTAAATATCCAGTGCAAATAAATTACAAGACATTCATATTTTCAGCATTTTTTTCCACTTCACGTGTTAACATAAATTTGCCAAAATTTGATGAAATTTGACCATAATTTATTTTTTCATGACCTTTTTTTTTTCCTTTTTCTTTTCGACGCTGTGTAGAGTAGATGATTCTTACATAAGCAGGTGGTTGGAAGAGTTGTAAAATGAGAGGGCTTGATGGCATAATTCATAAAAATAAAGTCAGTTGTAGGGCAAGTTATAGTTATTTCGGTAGCACTTTAGTTTACAGTCCTGTTCCTCATGTACATACTATGTACTTATTATAGTAATTACAATAACTAGGTAATAACTAGGTACTAACCCGGAACCTACTCCTACTCCTAAACCTAACCCTACCCCATGTAGTTACTAAGTCTTACCAGAACTTTCTTAGGTAGGTACACTGTAAGTACATGTACTGTAAAATAAAGTGCAACCGTTATTTCAATTAAAGATTACAAAGAATTGTTCTTCAGAATGGCATGCACTAATAAATTGTGCATAATAAGACAACAAATTATTTTTCATGTTGACTTGAAGCTCTGTAGTGTATCTCTGTGGTAATACTTTTGTGGAAATTGTGATACTATATACACTATATACATTTCTTTTCTGCTGTTGCAGTGTTTTTTGATCAAATGTGACACTCAGCACAGTTTGTGTGTGTGTATGTGTGTTTTAGTGGATCTTCATGTGTGAGAGCGCTGGACATGTTTGTGTATGCAGAAGCTTGTGTGAATAGGTGACCCTGAACTAACACCAGCAGCCACCCGCTTCCCTACTAGTCACCTAATGAGAGCGCC